GAGGATTGGTATTTACTGTAGGGTAGTGAGCCACAGGAAGCTGCCCTTTTTTAGCCCTCTTGCCCTGGAAAAGCACCATCTGAAGGCAACTCAATATAAACCTCCTTCCTTCCTTTCTTTCCCAACCCCAGCTTTACACCCCTCCCCTCAGCTGTGGCTTTTTATCCTTGACCGCCAATCTGAGCATCTACAATTCAGACACTGGAGAATCATTCTTAGTTACGGTGTGTTTTTTGTTGGCAATGCTGAGAGTTTGTGTTTTGTACAAGAGTTAGGGAGAGAGATGTTGCAAGCCTGCCTGACCTAGGCCACCAGCAGTACAAAAACTTTGATTTGTAGTGGGAACCTTCCCACCCTGAGACCCACAGTAGAAGAAAATGAATGAGGAAGCACTTTGTAACCTCAGAATGTTTGGGATATCATGAACACCTTTAACCTGTTTCTGATCATGCAAGTGCTGGTAGCTTGATGAGATACTGTTATTTCAGCATTGTGGAACAGAATTACCAGTACATTCTAACACTTGCCATAACTAAGTTTTATGTGAAGGAAGAAATAAATCATTCATCTGGGCATCCTGTGCATATGGAAACACCGACAATGAGGTGCTAAGATCAGTAGTGCAGGCCAAGATCCCCATTATCCCAAAGGGAATGACTTTGGCAATAATTTGAAAGTGAAGGAAACAAAAGATGTGACTGAAGAAGAGCTGCTTTGCTAGATCAGCCATTCAAACATGTACCACATGTATTTGGCTGTGGAAATATGATCTCAGACTTTATATTCAAGGTGGCTTAAGCTATATTGGTTCCCTTTGCTTGTCCTGGTGATTTTTGGATATGATATTCTGCTTTGCATTTGTAGTAGGCCAGTGATGGGTCAGTAACAGCAATAAGTTGTTAAATTGTGATTGCTGTTAATAATGATCCTGTGTTCTGTCAGAGGTTTTAAAATCAGCTTAGACTGGGGTCTTTTAAAATCTCTTCAGCTCGATTGCTATTCCCTCTTTAGCACTGTAACATCTAACTGGGAGCTGACAAATGAACAGTTATTTCAAGAGGGGTTTTTAAAATCATTGGAGTGCTGTGTGTTTCCTAGTCTGGTCAAAGCCATTTGTTCCTAAAATTTCTTATTTAAAGATGAACCTAAAAGATGCTGATGGAAGCTGGATAAAATTTATTTCACAGGCAGTGAATCTGGTGAAGGATATGTCATTTGGTCTATTGAAACTGCCTATAGATTCAAGTTTACTTCAGTTAATGTCCTAAAATGGAAGACTGCTTTAGAGTGTCGGAGCTTTTTGTTTTGAAACAAGAAAACCACGTTAAAAACAAAACAAAACTAAGATGAAAGCTGCAAGAAGAACTGACTCAATGTCCTTCATAGCACTGAGCAAGCTACTTTAGTCAAAATGTTGGTAAACCTGGTCTCCATAACTTGCCCAGAGTTTTTAATTCCAGCCACTGAACTTCAGAAAGACCTGTTAGACTGATCTCAGTAGATTTGCATGAACACACTGCATCCCCTAGAGAGGGGTGAGAGTAGGTGCTTGGAAAGGCAGAGGAGAGAACTAACTCAACAGCAGCTCTGTGGGTGTCTCATGACATGGAACATTAGCTGGTCTGTGCTGGTCTTTCTCTTCCAATCCCTTGGAAGAACTCATAAGTTTTGCTTTCTTTCTGTTGTCAGAAAGAAGAAATTTTTTCAGAGAAAAATCTCTGAAGCCATTATATTTTTGCAAGGTGGAAAGGCAGTCCTTTCAGAGTTGAATTATTTCAGAGGGGCTGAATTTCCTCTTTGTGGGTCAACGGCTGGCATTTTCTGCAGTGTAGAAGCCTGAAAAGTTGCACATCAAGAGGTGGAGCATTGTTCAGAGTGCCTCTCAGTGCTGGTGAGAGCACAGGATAGCCCCAAGGCAGATCTGTTCAACTTGTCGAGGTCCTTGGGTAGCATCAAGTGAGCTGCAGACCTTCAAAAATACTGCACTGCAGAGCTCAGCCTGTGCTCACCCACACAGTTAGATAAGCTCAGCGCAGGAGGGGGGTTGTTGCAGCCTGCTGCTATGGCCGAGGCTCATCACAGTACCTGACACTGCTAATTCAATGTTAGCTTGAAGTGTCTACATTGATTTCTGTCACAGTAGTGGCTTTCTTTCCATGGATATAGCAACATGTACAGGGACTGATTACCCATATTTTGATTAGTCGTCATTGCTTCTTGCCTTTTCTACTTCTTCTTCTTTAAGAAGAATGTAAATAATCAAGGACAATGTAAAATCCATATGTATTTGTGAGTTCAATAGGAAATTTGGATTTTGTGTTAGCTAATGAAGAAATCAAATGAATCTGACCCATGCTCCAGGGTTGAGACTCTCAATCTTTCTGGCAGATTGAGGCTAAGGCAGAGGAACCTCAACAGCTTAAAAGAGCACTCATGGTTCACATCCTCTATTTCAGCATCCACAGGATTCAACCATTTCATAAATGCTTTTTTGTTTGATCCCTGGATTTTACATCATTAGAACCAAGATTTTTCTTCATAAATTACTTCTGAGCAATTTGGCAGCATCTACCCAACTCATTCTTTGAGAGTCCAGAGAGTGTTACAACTTCGGTTTGTCTCATAATGATGGGAAAACACCAGGTGTGATTTTAGCAGGATTTTATCCAGGTGTATTCCTAGAGTTCTTTTTATTTTATTGGCTCTCATTCTCTGTATCCCTCCTGAGCTTTAGCTGGGCTTTAGCCATTGAATTTTATTAGCTTCAGAGTTTCATGACTGGTGAGTTCACTGGAAAGGAACAGAATTTATTGCAATAACTTTAATAAGAGTGAATTTTTTCATCCTTAGTTTTATGTAGATTTTATTTATATTTTCTTTAAAAAGCCATTCTTAAAATTGGAACAGGTCTGATTATTCTCCTAAGAACTGTGCACACCGAAGGTACAGTCAGTTATTGGTATTACATTATATATGACAAGTTGAGAAATATTAACAATTTGAGAATTTGAAATAAAAATTATCTGGAATCCTGTTCAACAGTATTTTTAGGGAAATGCTTATCTATAACCAAAAGGGAACAATCTCATTATAACTTTCAAGAAAATGAGTTGTAGTGAGGTTGGTTGGTTTGTTTTCAAAGGAGAAAAGGGTTTGGATGGAGAGAGTAAGTGCTATTTGTTCATCATAAAGTTATTCTTTGACTAATGACAACATGATGGTCATGAGGTTATGAGTCACTATTCTTTCACTTTGAGGTCAGTAGTATGCTCCTCTGAGAGTAGCTGCTTAGATGAACACAGGTGGGGAATGTCTGAGAGGTGCAGCACGGTAGGTTCTTCAAGGTGGTAGCAAAATCCTGAGAAAGAAGTGTCTTTAAATCCTACCTCCAGCAGTGAGCTCCTTATCCTGAGTGGAGCAGCACAAACCCAGACTGTTCTCAGCTATAGAACTGAGTGGTGTCACTGAGTTGAACTTTCACCTCCCAAGAGATGTGACATCAGAGAATGGACTCTGCCAAACCTCTCGGAAGGACAGGCTGGAGACTGAGCAGCTGCTGCCTGTTTGCAGGAGGGTGCTGATCTTGGACGGCAGCACCACCACCTCTTCAGTACTCTGCATCACCCCAGCCAGTACTGGCAGAGAAGAGTAAAAGGTGCATTGATACCTGATGGAGCTCTGTTTGGAAGTAGTTTGGTTTTGCCATGGCTGGTGCTATGCAGTCCCAGTGGCCCCCTGCTTTGACAACCCACTGAGACTCCTGTGTTGTACTTTGTTCACCCCTTTGTGTGGATCACGTGTCTCTGCTGAGTCACAGCATCACACAAGGTCAGTTTGCCTTGTGCATTTTCTCATAAACCCTCTCGAAACCCAGAGCACTGGGGAGTACAGTATAGGGAAGGCAACCTTGAATTTTTCAAGGCTCTTTAGCTCTGGATGAGCATGCAACAGGAGACGCCCGACATGGTTCCAGCAAAGCCACTCTCCAATGGTCCCAGTAACTGTTATGTAATGCTGTGCAGGACCTGTTTGGGTCTTACAAAACCAGGTCAGATCCAACAGGGTTTGCTAGCCCTGCTTCCATGCTGTACATAAGTACTACCCTGCTCCTCTTGGCCATGTAAGCGCACATGCTGTGCCATACCTGAGCTGACAGATCTTGCTGAAGCTAAGCTGCCCCTGCATTTAGCCATAGCATATCTATCTGCAGCTGCACTGTGGCTGATTTACAACTTGGATACAATGGCTCAAGGTAGCTGAGAACAAATTGCTGAGATTCAGATACTCTTTTCATTCTATTTCACTTCCAAAACATAATGTAAGGAATTCAAGGAGTGCAGAGAGGTAGTAGCTGAGAAAAGCTAGTTTGGCTTTCAGGCACAAAGGAGGTTGACACCTGTAGTGTGAGTGATCTATAAAATGCAGCTTTTCAAATAGTTGTTGGACACTTGGTCTTCTGCACCATTTACAAGACTGAGGTTGCATGTATTTGACTGACTATGGGGAAGTTCTCTGCTGCTGCTGAAAGCAGCAAAAGTGAATTCCAGTGGCCTTGCTCCTGGGATTCTGTTGCCTTCTCAAATTCACCGAGACCCCAATTTCACAAGATACTGGCACCAGAGACTGAGCTGCTTGCAAGAATTCCTAACTCCCTGCCCTGTGTGCTGGTTTCCACCTTTGCCCCGTAATTCCCTGTTCTTTCAGATTGCTGAGGTGGACTGTTTGTGAGGATGAACAATAAGCAGTATCTGTCAACTGGCTTTAAAACAGTCCTCATAAAAAGAAAAGAAGAGAAAAAAAGAGAAGTAAATAAATACATATTCTCTGTTGGAGGTGAAAAAATGTGAAAGTCTCTCATGTCTATGCTACTGCTTAAGAAAATCTATGTGGAACATCATCCTCAATTAAATTAATGTTGTGATTAAAGCAAAAGCTGAGGCAGCAAACAGAGTTTCTACTTTTTCCAATGTATTGTAAGAAGAGTAATTTCTTTTTTTCAGCATTGCTTGAGAAGCCCATCAGCAAGAGACGAGACAGTGAAGCTGTACAGAAGGCCAAGATCCTGTACGCATCCTGCATGAATGAGAGTAAGTGCCTTGATTTGAGAGGGACACATACATGCTACCTGTGTTGATAAAGGCAGGCTCTTTTTCTCTCTACTGAGCTGTGTGAAGCCTTGTGCAGACACACAGTTTTTGCTGATTTGGACACAACTGAATGCAGGATGTCTCCTAAAAATCCAGGTTTCTGGATTTGCTAACAAGACTGAGGTACATCAAGGCACAAAAAGCCAGTTTTACAGAGGCTTCTGTTTGTCAGGGAACTGTGGAGGGATATTTATCTATGCAAAAGGATGACAAAACCATGCCCTGGGGGTGCAGGAGTAGAGTCTGGTAAATCAGAGGAGCTCTCTGGTTAAATTCTCACACTGACACTTTCAAGAGCCCATTGCTCAGCACCTTCTACATTTCTCTAAATACATTTAATCAAAATACTTCTACACAGCTGCCTATAGACAGTCACGGACTCTTCAGCTTCGAGTTACCTGGATGTCAAGAAAGTTTGGATGGGGAGGCTTATAGCTACACTTGCGGATCACTTTTCTTGAGCTTGAAAATGTTGCTGTAAGGTGCTGTACACTAGGTTGGGACACATCACCACCTTTATGTAGCTACAAGTGTGAAAGATGAGTTGGGAGGGAGAGGACTTTGTCCTTCAAAGTGCTTTTGGTCCTCATGACTCTTACAGATTTTAATTCCGGTCTGGTTTTCTTCCAACATGGCCTGAGACTGACTGCCAGCAATTGAGACAGACTGCCCAGCAGTCTTGGTGCTGAGATACTGACCCTTCTACCTTTGGTTATGTACAACAACCCCCTTGCAGAACCACTGAAGTTTCTCTGCTAGATTCTAAGCGAGAAATATTTTTTTAAATTGACTTATTTCCAGCCCTTTGTCTTTTTTGAAAGGAGCTGATCTGCCTTGCTTATTGTTGATTCAGATAAACTGGGTTGGGCTCCCATGCTTCTATGCTGACAGGCAGTGCAGAGGCTTTGGGTTTCAGCTATTGTGTTTTGCCTTGCCTAGAAATCAATCAGTGCTGATAAATCTTTTTGTCTTGTGTGGCTGCTGATGGATTTGAATTGTCTGGAATGTAATTGTTGTCACATTTTGACATTTCAGATAAAATTGAAAAAGCTGATGTGAAACCCCTATTAAGTATACTGAGGCATTCACCTTTCCGCTGGCCTGTGCTGGAAGCCAACATTGGACCTGAAGGGCTATGGTCGGAAAGGAGGTTTAGCTTAGTCCAAACCTTGGCAACTCTTCGTGGTCAATACAGTAGTTCCGTCTTCATCCGTTTGTATGTGGCTGCTGATGACAAAATCTCCAATCAGTATATTCTTAAGGTAGAATATATCATATCTAATCGGTAACTTTGAGTGGCATTTCGTGGTATCATTTTTTTTAAAAGCATGTTTACATCCCAAGTGTTTACACTTGATTATTTTTGTTATTATCTACTGACTTACGGATGTACATAGGCCAACTTATGAGAATGTAGAAGACAGTAGGAACTACATGCTATTGAAAAAATATTTCTGTAGAGGGAATTTGCTCCTTTCAAATGGCAAAAAAAGTAAAACAGATTCCCAGTGGATCAATGTCCAGAATCCATGTGTGTGAAAATTAAAGCAGTGGATATCCAGTCTTGAGGGTGTTCTGGGTGCTGCTTATGACTTATCAGTTGCATGAAGAATATTGGGGTTTTTTTTGTCTGTGAAGATGAAGAATAGTGAATACATCAGTAGCAAATCTTTTGAACCTGAGCTATTTTTCTTGAGATGGAAACATTATCTTGGGCTTATACAGCACCTTGCAACACAGATATACCCCAAACACTACTGAACCTAAAATAGAGAATGTACCTTTTTACTGAAATGTAATTGCTTTTGGACTAAAGCATTAGCAGCTTTACAGTGCATGGCATTACACAACAGTTTAGATGACTGAGAAAGAGACTGAAGAAATGTTGCCTCAGTGTAGTTTGACAAAACTCCAAAGAAAATTGTAACTATTACTATGAGATGCGACTGTGACAAGACTGAGTGCCTGGGATCACTGGATTGTTGTTGTGTAAGAAATAAGATGAGCAGTAAGAGCAGACCAACCCTCCACTGCTACAAGGAAATAGTTTATGAAGGCAAGAGAGAAGGGACAAAGAAGAAAGTTATGCTGCCATTCATCACAGCAAAATAGGATCTATGAGCCTTAAGTTGCTAACATTTTGACTAGCTATAGGAATACATTGTATCTGGGGATGAAACAACAGTTAATTGTGATGGTATTGGAGTGGTTGTAAATTCTAAGTCAGTTATTCAAAACGTCTTTTGACTGAGGCATTTGACTGGTGTGAAATTGAAAGGTAGCTTTTCCCCAAATCTAAGACATTTTCCTGAACAGTCCAGTCAACAGAAGATCAACAGTTTGCTGTATTAAAGATGTCATTCTGGTGAGATGCTGTTCAGATTCTGTCAGGATTGCTTCAGCTGGAGATGTGTTTAAAAGAACTGAAAAAGTAGAATCAGGAGAGTTTAGGTATCTCCTGTTACAATAGTTCAGTCCAAGTCACCTGTCAGTGAAGGTGTGGGTAGTAATAAGAGAGCTTGTTGCTGGTCTCTTAGAAATGAGTTATACCTGGTATTATCTTCACTCAGTACACTTAATGGCAACTAAGAATTAAGTAGCTAAATAACTGGAGCATTACTTGTTATGAATAACATATTCCTTAGGGTATTCTGTTGTTGTTAATTTGATTAAGAATATGATCTGCAGAACGCATCAGCCAGTATTCCACTTTGTCTGTGTTT